CTTACAGTTTCAGGCACATGCCAAAAGCAGAGGTAGAAGTTGGACTTTGGCTTCTATCATTCCTGCCAATGGTGAGGAATATTGGGAATTTCAATCCAACAACATCTGGAAAGCAGTATTTTGCCTGATCCTGATTTTAAAATGTACCAAGCTGCCCTTGGTATCCCAATCGGTGCTCAAAGCAGTCTAATGTTTCCCAGAAGAAAGGTTACGCTGTATTTGCCCAAACAAAATGATTCACAACAGCAAAAATCGGCAATTATCACTAACTTTATTGGACACCTTTACAGAAGTTAATATTGCACATGGTTTAAGAGAAAGAAAAAATTAAAACCCAAAGAAATATCTTTTTTAAAAAGAGAGCAAAGCCTTATGAAGACAATCCTTACATCCAGGTAGAAAGTCAAAGGCACAGAGATGATATTTTGAATTCGACAACGTTTCCAGCCACAAAATTCTGCAGAAAATGGATAGTGTTGCCCTTTTAAAGCTGTTTGCATTGCCCTAGATAGGCCATTGGTAGAATACAAATAGTTCCCATCTTACACAAGCACAAGGGGTGGAAAACTAATAATCCATACCTAGTCAAAGCCCTCCCCAAGTCTTTTGTCCTCCCACTGTAACTTGCCTTGTATGAAATGGTGCCAAAAAGCTACAGCTCCACCTGCTGCCAGGTTCAGAAATAATAACATAATGCAATTCAAGGCACTATGATGCAACTTAGTTAATATCAATTGCAAAAGGGCTAAAGCTGCAATGATGGCTAGTAGGCTTGGGCAATCCATGGTTCTAAATGGTTCTAAAGTACTTACAAAACTAAAGTTCTGGTGGTGAAAATTTCAGAACTCTAACAAAACTCTCAAAATTTCATAATAAATGGCAGTTCCTAATTGGTTCTGTCATTAAAATCACCAATAATGAAATAATAATTAAATTTTGAGAGTTTTGTTAGAGTTCTGAAATTTTCACCACCAGAACTTTAGTTTTGTAAGTACTTTAGAACCATTTAGAACCATGGATTGCCCAAGCCTAGTGGCTAGATCTTTTGTGATTGGCTACTAAGTGACTCTGCATAGCATAGGCACTGTGGTACATAGGAGAAGCAAGTGGAATTAAAACAGGGCTACTTTCTCGAAAGTTTTGAACTAGAAAAGGAGGAGAGCGGGAATGAAACAAAAGCCTGGAGTTCAATATATTCCACTGTGGTTCCAATCAAGTGTAATTTGGACTTCTTTGCAACTTTTGCTGAAACATAAACAGGTCTAGAAGCATGCTATGAAGATTAGCAGTGACACGGGATCCTTCATTGATAAGGCCTTTGTGTAAGTGTATATTTTATTCCCTTTCCCCTCCTCTCTGAAGGAGGTTGGATCTTCACTTAAAATATGACTTCACTCCTTGAAGAACATGTAATCTATTTTATTTTTAAAAATACAAATTATGCTTGCCAAGGTATGTAGCAACATTTCCTCTTAGAGACATAGAATCACAGAGTTGGAAGAGACCTCACGGGCGATCCAGTCCAATCCCCTTCCAAGAAGCAGGAATATTGCATTCAGAGCACCCCTGACAGATGGCCATCCAGGCTCTGCTTAAAAGCTTCCAAAGAAGGAGCCTCCACCACACTCCGGGGCAGAGAGTTCCACTGCTGAACGGCTCTCACAGTCAGGAAGTTCTTCCTCATATTCAGATGGAATCTCCTTTCTTGTAGTTTGAAGCCATTGTTCTGTGTCCTAGTCTCCAGAGAAGCAGAAAACAAGCTTGCTCCCTCCTCCCTGTGACTTCCTCTCACATATTTATACATGGCTATCATATCTCCTCTCAGCCTTCTCTTCTTCAGGCTAAATGTGCCCAGCTCTTTAAGCCGCTCCTCATAGGGCTTGTTCTCCAGATCCTTGATCATTTTAGTCGCCCTCCTCTGGACACATTCCAGCTTGTCAATATCTCTCTTCAATTGTGGTGCCCAGAATTGGACACAATATTCCAGGTGTGGTCTAACCAAAGCAGAATAGAGGGGTAGCATTAGGATGTGAGAGCTGGACCTTAGGAAAGGCTGAGCGAAGGAAGAGAGATGTTTTTGAACTGTGGTGTTGGAGGAAAGTTCTGAGAGTGCCTTGGACTGCGAGAAGATCCAACCAGTCCATCCTCCAGGAAATAAAGCCTGGCTGCTCATTGGAGGGAAGGATACTAGAGACAAAGTTGAAGTACTTTGGCCACATCATGAGGAGACAGCAAAGCCTAGAGAAGACAATTATGCTGGGGAAAGTGGAAGGCAAAAGGAAGAGGGGCCGACCAAGGGCAAGATGGATGGATGGCATCCTTGAAGTGACTGGACTGACCGTGAAGGAGCTGGGGGTGGTGACAGCCAACAGGGAGCTCTGGCGTGGGCTGGTCCATGAGGTCACGAAGAGTCAGAGACGACTGAACGAATGAACAACAATTACTTCCCTAGATCTAGACACTATGCTCCTATTGATGCAAGCCAAAATCCCATTGGTGTGCCAGTGGAGGGGGCAGAATTGGATGAGGGAATTCACACTTTTCCTTGTTTGGACAGTTTGTGTTATTTTCTTCACCCAAACACTCCAACCCTAAAGCACTGGAATAGCCATGCTATTTCCTCCGCCATCAGGTGCCATACTGTGCCTCTGGCAGGTGCTCTCACCTTCCATCCCTATTTTATCCAATTCTTCCATCAGTCTACTAAATACTACCCATTAGGTTCCAGGTTTTACTGTTTTGAATTCCAGGGAGATGAGCTTCAAGAAACTTAAGACATTCCCTTTCATGCAGAACTCAGAAAAAGTACTTTTTGGATTCCAAATCCCAGAATCCTTACTGGCCTTTCCAGTTATGGTATTTCCAAAACATGAATTGAGACATCCACATGTATAATAGTAAGTGAGAAAGAGGAGTATAGTGTCTAGATCAGGGGTCCTCAAACTTTTTAAATAGAGGGCCAGGTCACAGTACCTCAAACTGTTGGAGGGCTGGATTATAATTTGAAAAAAACATGAATGAATTCCTATGCACACTGCACATATCTTATCTGTAGTGCAAAAAACACTTTAAAACAATACAATTAAAATGAAGAACAATTTTAACAAATAAAAACTTATTAGTATTTTAATGGGAAGTGTGGGCCTGCTTTTGGCTGATGAGATAAGATTGTTGTTTGCTTTCAATTCGCTTTAGACCAGTGTTTCTCAACCTGGGGGTCGGGACCCCTGAGGGGGTCGTGAAGGGGTGTCAGAGGGGTCGCCAAAGACCATAGGAAAACACAGTATTTTCTGATGGTTATGGGGATTCCATGTGGGAAGTTTGAGCCAATTTTATCGTTGGTGGAATTCAGAATGTTCTTTGATTGTAATGAACTATAAATCCCAGCAACTACAACTCCCAAAAGTCAAGGTCTATTTTCCCCAGGCTCCACCAGTGTTCACATTTGCGCATATTGAGTATTTGTGCCAAGTTTGGTCCAGATCCACCATTGCGTGAGTCCACAGTGCTCTCTGGATATAGGTGAACTACAACTCCCAAACTCAAGGTCAGTCCCCACCAAACCCTTCCAGTGTTTTCCGTTTTCATGGGAGTTCTGTGTGGCAAATTAGGTTCAAATCCATCGCTGGTGGAGTTCAGAATGCTCTTTGATTATAAGCAAACTATAAATCCCAGAAACTACAACTCCCAAATTACAAAACCAACCCCAGCAGCATTTTCACGTGGGTGCACTGGGTATTTGTGCTCAGTTTGGTCCAGTGAATGAAAATGCATCCTGCATATCAGATATTTACATTATGATTTATAACAGTAGTAAAAGGACTGTTATGAAGTAGCAACAAAAACAATGTTATGGTTGGGGGTCACCACAACATGAAGGACTGTATTAAGGGGTCACGGCATTAGGAAGGTTGAGAAACACTGCTTTAGACTTTGGTTGACCCTGAATGAGGGCCGAGTAAATTACCTTGGAGGGCCGTATCTGGCCCCCCGGGCCATAGTTTGAGGACCCTGGTCTAGATTGAGGGAAGTCATGGTGCCTCTCTATTCTGCTTTGGTTAGACCTCACCTGGAATACTGTGTCCTATTCTCGGCACCACAGTTCAAAAGAGATATTGACAAGCTGGAAGGTGTTGCCTGAATCTGTGCCTCAGGTTCAAGGCCGACTTCCATGATATATATTTGTGCATGTGGAAGTCCTCCACCTGTCTATGAGAAGATGGATATTTTGTAGCATAGAATAATGTCATTTGTAGATTGGGAAGCTCCCTACGTGTATCAGGTCCGGAAAAAGGCACTATTTGAGTTATTCCTACACTACAAAATAAACGCAAGAGTTTAAATGTGAATATAAAATTGATTAATATGAATTGAAAAGGGTAAACTGTGGCCTCCACATGTTTTTGGACTCTACTCATTCCCAAATACTGAATACACTAGCAAGAAGGAAAATGGGAGTTGCAGTCTAGCCACTTTTGGATGGCCACAGAATGCTCACTCCAGATGTAATATCTCAGATGGCCGAGAATATTTGTGAGAAGTGTAACTTTTGTTTTTGTCGGTGCCCCCCTCACTTGGGACCCTTTCACAGTACACAATTATCCCATGATGATTCCACTTTAACTGCCATAGCATCATTCCACGGAAGCGTTGGATTTGCAGTTTAGGGACTGGCAGCTAAAACTCTGAGCCAGAGAGGTCTTCTAGGATTCCATAGGATGCAACCATAGCAGTTAAAGGGGAATCATCGTGCTATAATTGTGTGTTATGAAAATACTCTTTAGTTGCTATTTCCAATAATGAGAGCTCAAAGATATGTTGTACAATTCAGGCACAAAAGAAAGCACAACACATGATTCTAAGATTCCATAAGGCTACTGGTCATGGCTGATTCATCATACAAAGAGCTACCGTGATTCAGAATCCATTGCGGATCTTCCTTCTGCCCCACACAAAACAAGAGTTGCTACTGTACACATGGGAAAAACGAAACCGGAACCTTTGTTTGTCTACCAGAATCAGTATATTTCAAATGCAGGACTATTATAATGCAGGCTGATAAAAAAATCTGGTCAGATCTGTACCTATTTACCTTTGTGCCAATGGCTCTGTGTCACTCCCCCACCCTTCCTTTTCCCTGGGCATTAGCTGGCTGGCAGCTGTCTTTATCAGGCTCTGACTATTCTTTCTGCATATGGTCTTCCCCATGACTCTCTCATCTATAGAATTGTTTTTACTTCCTTACTCTCCTTCTGCCCCCCCCCCCACTTCAAATTCCCCATTCGATTTCTTTTCCCCTTTCATTCTTCCCTCCCCCTCCCTCCCCCATAATCCTCCTATATATATACATATATTTATTTTTTGTAGTTGCCAAACTGAATAGCCAAGCGATCAGTGGCACAGCGGAAAGTAGCTGGTTGCACTTCCCAGTAGGGTACTGGGTTGGCAAAAAGGCTGATGCCATGGTATGAGGCACGCTTCACCCCAAAGCCAACAGGACAGAAGTCATTGACACCAATATGGGTAATGTTGTTGGAGTGAAGGTATACAACCTGTGGAGGAAAGACATGAGACTAGATTAGTGGCAGGGCATCAAATTCATAGGATTTCAGCAGGTCAGCAAGACTGTATACAGGTTCCATCAATATGTGTCGAAAATACAAACAAAGGGAATTGTTTATCTCATGGGTCGGTGGAGGCAGGCCTGTAGGGGGGGGGTTTAGGGGTTCAAACCCATCCACCCCCCGTTTTTACCACATATGGAAGAAGGTTCCAGTTTGCCACATTTCCAGCAGCATTCTTTAACATTTTTATAAAATTTCGCCAATTTTTGTGGTGTGATGTACCACTGGTACATCCTCTTGTACGAGTTTTCTTGTAGATCAAAGGAATATGTATTGTTCTTGAAGAACATTAAGATTATATGATATATAGAAGTTCATTTAAAATATATTCTAGGGGGAGTATGATGTTTTTGTACCTACAAATATTAGCTGGAAAACTGGGAGACATCTGTTTCCCCCATTTTGGTTTTAATTCAATGTTTTGGTGCGTATATTAGTGTAGTCTGCAGATTGTAGTTTTAATTAGCATAGGTTGCAATGATGGTTAGTTTTTCTTTTGTAGTCTTACCTTATACATTGTTTTACTTTATTTAGAAATATTTTCTTAGTAAACACATATTTCATTAAAATAGGTCTGTGGCCTGCAGCGGGTCATCCTTTTATATAAAAAAATTCAGGTCCTATAATGCTTCCAAGTTGAAGTCTGTATATATATATGTGCTGTGGTTTTCGTGAGATGGGAAGAAGGGGCAAAAATATAGTGTGGGTCCCAGTATTTCTGAAAATCTCTGATTTAGTTTTTTTTAAAATCTCTGCTGCACTTACTAGTTACAAAGATGTGCTTTAAAATATATCGGCAATGCCTGATGAAATCTCAGAAAGATGGGCCACTGATGCTGAACAAGATTTTGGAAATGTCAGAGGAGCTGCAGCACTCTGTATATAAAGAAAATCCTTACCTCACCCTGCAGGCCCGTAGCCAGGATTTTGATTTGGGAGGGGGGCTGAGTTTGATTCAGGGGGGGTGAGTTTGATGGGGGGCTGAGTTTGATTCGGGGGGGCTGAGTTTGATGGGGCTGAGTTTGATTGGGGGCTGAGTTTGATTTGGGGGGGCTGAGTTTGATTTGGGGGGCTGAGTTTGATTTGGGAGCTGAATTTGATTCGGGGGGCTGAGTTTGATTTGGGGGGCTGAGTTTGATTCGGGGTGAGTTTGATTCGGGGCTGAGTTTGATTCGGGGGCTGAGTTTGATTCAGGGGGCTGAGTTTGATTCGGGGCTGAGTTTGATTCGGGGGGCTGAGTTTGATTTGGAGGGGAGTTTGATTCAGGGGGGCTGAGTTTGATTCAGGGGGGCTGAGTTTGATTGGGGGCTGAGTTTGATTGGGGGCTGAGTTTGATTTGGGGGGCTGAGTTTGATTCAGGGGGCTGAGTTTGATTGGGGGGCTGAGTTTGATGGGGGCTGAGTTTGATTTGGGGGGCTGAGTTTGATTTGGGGGGGCTGAGTTTGATTTGAGGGGGTTTGATTGGGGGGGTGAGTTTGATTCGGGGGCTGAGTTTGATTCGGGGGGGGCTGAGTTTGATTCAGGGGGCTGAGTTTGATTCGGGGGCTGAGTTTGATTGGGGGCTGAGTTTGATTGGGGGTGAGTTTGATTTGGGGGGCTGAGTTTGATTCTGGGGGCTGAGTTTGATTTGGGGTGAGTTTGATTTGGGGGCTGAGTTTGATTCGGGGGGCTGAGTTTGATTCAGGGGGCTGAGTTTGATTCGGGGGGCTGAGTTTGAATTGGGCTGAGTTTGATTCAGGGGCTGAGTTTGATTTCGGGGGGCTGAGTTTGATTCAACTCTAGATTATTAAATATAGTTTTCTGTGGGCAAGCAGATGGCGACTATTGGATGGCATACAGGCCCGTAGCCAGGATTTTGTTTCGGAGGGGGGGGGGCTGAGTTTGTTGGGGGGGGGCTAAGTCTGAGTGAAAGAGGGTCTACCCTAGCAAATCTTTTGTATCGTTATATATATACCCCCATGCATATGGGATATATTGAGCATGGTGATCAGATCATGATATGAATAAACATAACAGTTTAAATAATGTACCAGTAAGGCCTTCTTGCGGACACCCTGAGAATTTCGGGAGGAGGGCTGAAACCCCCCGCCCCCCCCCCAGCTACGGGCCCGTCACCCTGTCATTAAGCCAAATAGAAATTCTTGATATAATTGTTGTGCAAAAATAAATAATGCAAATTTGCCTAATTCAAACAGGTCACATAATTCAGTTTTTCTTATAATGGAAACTGAAGTAGTCCCTTCTCCCTCCCATCTCTCTCTCTCTCACATGCACACACACAAACACACACTGTGCACCACTTCAATTGACCCTTGCTAGATTATCACAACATTGTGGGTGACCTTACAAAATTTCTGGATATGACAAGAAAGGTCAAGCTGACATTTGGCCTCCATCCTCTATTTTAACAAGCTAGCGGAAGAAAGGAAAACAGTGTCCACTGCGATGCTTTCTGCCTACCTCACAACTGTTCATAGTGAAAGCGGCCCTGAACCAACATTTTGTCATGTTGTTCTGAAACAACCTAAGGTTATGTGCATAGTATTAACTAAAGAAAATGCGCTTTTAAGGCTATTTCCCTTCATAGCATGAATAATGTTTTTAATGTATTGTCGAAGGCTTTCATGGCTGGGATCACTGGGTTGTTGTAGGTTTTTCCAGGCTATATGGCCATGTTCTAGAGGCATTTTCTCCTGACTTTCGCCTGCATCTATGGCAAGCATCCTCAGAGGTAGTGAGGTCTGTTGAAGTAGGAAAAATGGGTTTATATATCTGTGGAAACCAGAGAAGTCAGCGATAGCAGAGCACCTGATGAACCAACCTGGACACAGCATATTATTTGAGAACACAGAAATGCTGGACCACACCAACAACCACCATGTCAGACTACACAGAGAAGCCATTGAAATCCACAAGCATGTGGACAATTTCAACAGAAAGGAAGAGACCATGAAAATGAACCAAATCTGGCTACCAGTATTAAAAAACTCTAAAATTACAACAGCACAACACAAACACACACTGTGCACCACTTCAATTGACCCTTGCTAGATTATCACAACATTGTGGGTGACCTTACAAAATTTCTGGATATGACAAGAAAGGTCAAGCTGACATTTGGCCTCCATCCTCTATTTTAACAAGCTAGCGGAAGAAAGGAAAACAGTGTCCACTGCGATGCTTTCTGCCTACCTCACAACTGTTCATAGTGAAAGCGGCCCTGAACCAACATTTTGTCATGTTGTTCTGAAACAACCTAAGGTTATGTGCATAGTATTAACTAAAGAAAATGCGCTTTTAAGGCTATTTCCCTTCATAGCATGAATAATGTTTTTAATGTATTGTCGAAGGCTTTCATGGCTGGGATCACTGGGTTGTTGTAGGTTTTTGGCTATGTGGCCATGTTCTAGAGGCATTTTCTCCTGACGTTTCGCCTGCATCTATGGCAAGCATCCTCAGAGGTAGTGAGGTCTGTTGGAAGTAGGAAAATGTTTATATATCTGTGGAATGACCAGGGTGGGACAAAGGACTCTTGTCTGCTGGAGCTGACAAACCAACCTGGACACAGCATATTATTTGAGAACACAGAAATGCTGGACCACCCTAACAACCACCATGTCAGACTACACAGAGAAGCTGCAAGCATGTGGACAATTTCAACAGAAAGGAAGAAACCATGAAAATGAACAAAATCTGGCTACCAGTATTAAAAACTCAAAAATTACAACAGCAAAACAACAGAGGGGAAACAAACAGGCACATAAAATCACTCAACAAGAGATTCCCCCCAGGCACTTCCAGGCCATTGAATGCAAATCAAGGTGATCAGCTGAAACATTACCCTGTTCATTCCACAGATATATAAACCCATTTTTCCTACTTCCAACAGACCTCACTACCTCTGAGGATGCTTGCCATAGATGCAGGCGAAACGTCAGGAGAAAAATTGCCTCCAGAACATGGCCATATAGCCCGGAAAAACCTACAACAACCCAATGTTTTTAATACTTCGTAAACTGTACTTTTGCCAGAGAGAAAATGAGCTCTATTTATTCACTTAATTTGTAAATATTAAATTAAATAAATAAACAAACAAATTAACATTTTAGGAAACCGAAAACAAAATTAAATTGACAAGGAAACCAGTGAGCCAAGAAGTGAAGAATAAAGGAGGATTCCCCCCACTTTCTTAAAGTGGAATAATGTCCCACTGTCACGTTTAGCTGAAATGTTTTCGGAGCACAATCTGAGATTTTATCAAGACATTTTCCATGGGTTTGTCTATGTTTATGTTAGCAACTTTTAGATCAGGAATCTTCATCTATTATTTTGAGGTTATGGCCACTGCTCCTTTGGTTCTGTTCTGTAACATGCCACCCCACATTCCCAAGTACCTGCAGAAACTTGAGATCTGGCAGTCCAGGAGGGACCTTTGACAGCTTGTTGTTATCCAAATGCAACTCGCGTAGGATAGGCAGGAAAGCCAGGCTGCCATTCTCAATCATCCTGATGTTGTTGTGTCCCAGACCCAATCTTCAGGGAAGGAAGAGAAGAAGAGAAGGAAGGGCTTGGTCAACAGAGCAGCCATCAATCAACCAACAGACAGTGTGTATCTGTATCAGCAACCCAGTGCTTAGTAGTTTGCATTTGCACCAGGGAAAGATATTTATTTATTTACGACATTTCTACGCCGCCTTTCTCTACTCTGGAGGGGACTCAAGGCGGCTTACACATAGGTAACTATTCCATAAAATAATGTACCATTAAAATAAACATTTAAATAGAATTATAAAATACATTAAAACAATTAAAAACATTTAAAACAATATCTTCTCAATCACGTAATCCTCAAGCATAATCCGGGCCGTTCCAATAGTTATTTCACACCATTCCATATCTATCTATTGCACAAGTTCTCCAAAAGGCTTGGTCACAGAGCCATGTTTTCACTCTCTTACAAAAGGTCAGGAGGGAGGGGCTGATCTAATATCCCTGGGGAGGGAATTCCACAGCTGAGGGGCCACCACTGAGAAGGCTTTGTCTCTCGTCCCCACCAATCACACCTGCGAAGGAGGCAGAACCGAGAGCAGGGCCTCCCCCAACAATCTTAAACTCTGAGATGGTTCATAATATACCAAAATACAGATGATAATTTGTATGAACTAAGCAAGCAAGACCAAGCTGCCTCTAAATAATTTGCATTAGAAGTATATCTCATAAGAATAAAATGTTCTTGGGAAAAGCCACCCTCTTCTATCTGTCCCATATCACAGTTACTGTGAAGATTGTATCTAACTCAGATACCTCAATTACTTGCAATGTTGTATTTGCAAACTCCAGTGGTTTTCACACTCCAGTGGTTTGCACACTAACATCCTATATGGGCATCCTATATGTGCCCCCCCCCCCCGCCCCCCGCCTATGGAACATACTCCCAAATGAGGTAAAATCCACTCCCTTCCTCCTGGCTTTTAGAAAAAAAAAATCATGATTTTGGGACCAGGCCTTCAGGCAGTAGAAGTAAATGTATGCAGCATTTCAGAAAGACAATGACTAGAACGGTGATTCGATGGACGAGACTGTTTTATTGTTTTAATGATTGTTTTATTGCTTGCGGATGTACTGTTTTTAACTTGATTTATGTCTAATTGTAGTGTATACTTGTAATTGTTTGTACTGGCATTGAATTTTGCCATTACTTATATGTTAACCGCTTTGAGTCCCCCTCGGGGTGAGAAAAGCGGTATACAAATACTGTAAATAAATAAATAATAAATAAATATTTTGTCTTAGATATCACATATAACTCTGGACAATGACCTAACTAGGAAAATTTATACCCTGATTAAGCAGTGATGAGCTCAATGAATGCTCTACTTCCCCACTTTCTCAGCTACTATTAAAATGTCCCAGCTTCACTTTTTTCCCTCCACTTTTCATCATCGAACTTAATTACAGTCCAAAGACGCAATTTGCTCAGTGGAAAAAGTGCACAGCAGATTCATAAACCAGTAAGACCACTTAAAAACAGGACAGGTGCAATTCTAGGTGCATGTGAACAAGTGTAAAAACACTGCAAATATATACAAGACAAGATTCAACCTGATTCTAATACAAGTTGTTGTCTAATCCTGGCTACCACGGAGAGAAATTTGGCAACAGCCAAGGTCACATGGGGAAAAATGTCACTTAATAAAAACTTTACTTGGAATTGGGTAGATCTACTGGGTAAGTTTATCAATGTTGGTTATTTGTTCAGTTGCTTCTGACTCTCTGTAACCTCATGGAGAAGGCCACGCCAAAGCTAATGGGTTAATAATATGTAGCCAAGCTTGCTTGTAAAAACTGCAGGACAATAAGATATGATACATACATTCAACATCCTGGTTATTACATGGGCGAAGTCTTGCATTGTAAGGGACTCCCACAAATCTGCCTCAAAGCACTTTGGATGGGAACACATTGCACCTTGCCTTGGAGAATAGATAGCAATATTTGGCCACAGTCAAGTTCTTAAAATAATTTGCTTCTCCCACTTTCCATGTGATTTTTTTTCTTTTTTCTCTCTATTTCTATTTCTTTCTTTTTCATTATTGACGATATAACAAAAATATATTAAAAAATAATTTGCTTCATGAAAAGGCCCAGCACAATGTATGCTCAGGGCACTTGGGGAACAAGAAGCATATGAGCAAGAATGCAGATCACAGAAGGCAATGTCCCACAGTCTATGTTTAATAGATTTAAATTTCACTTTTCTTTTTTGATCATGGCTTATTTTAATTGCTGAAAATTGAGTTCAAACTGCCAAAGTAATTTGCACTCAAAGTCAGCAGGATTTATTGAGTGCAACCTAGCAGTTCGAAAACATGCAAATGTGAGTAGATCAATAGATACCATTCCAGTGGGAAGGTAACGGCTCTCCATGCAGTCATGCTGGCCACATGACCTTGGAGGTGTTTACGGACAACGCTGGCTCGTTGGCTTAAAAATGTAGATGAGCACCAAACCTCAGAGTCGGATACGACTGGACTTAATGTTTGGGGAAAATCTTTAACTTTACCTTAAACTCAGCAGGATGGAAAGGAGAGGATGGAGTCTTGTCTTCCCCAGAAGTCTCAGACAAAAGCAGCCTCTCAGCTTTGTGTTCTTTCACTTTATAGTTTTGCCATTTTGACTGCATTTTGATATTGCTTGGCCTCGTGTGCCCTGGTTATAATCTGTGAAATGCTGGGAGCGGGAGACAAGGCAAAATCCCATTTCTCCCGGCACTGCAGTTGCAGTGTGAACCCCCAGATTCTAATAACAAGATTTAATTCCAATAGCTTCTATTCATGGATCTGCTGCCTGTATCTGTCTTGGCCCAGGGACTCTCCTAGCAGCCAGCAGATGGGAGTCAACGCTGGACAATTCCCACTTTGCAGCAAAGAAACGGAGTGTTTTTGTTTTAGGGTGTTCGTTTTGAAAACAATGTGGGCAACTACAGGAACAGGCTATTGATTTGGAGAACAGATTTTATCTCGGACAGTTTCCAAATCAAAATGCTTCAAGGAAGGAAGAGATGACAATGACTGAAAATAGAAAAGTTATTGAAGGCTGGTAAGTACGGCTTTTTCTCCCTCTGGTGGCAGAAACTGAAATGCTATGACTGCTCAGGAATTGATAAATAGAATATATACAGTAGATTAAGGTAAAGGTAAAGGTTTTCCCCTGACATGGCGTCCAGTCGTGTCCGACTCTGGGGTGTGGTGCTCATGTCCATCTCTAAGCTCATGTCCATTTATGTTATACTAGCCGTACCCTGCCACGCGTTGCTGTGGCCCAGTCTGTGTATATGTGTTTTGTGTGTGTATGTGTGGTTTTGCGCATGCGCTGTTTTTGGCTTTTTAAGTCTTTTCTGCTCTGTTTTTCAGTGTTTTTATGAGTGATTGTCACTAGTTGGCCTGATAGGTGTCTTGCGTCCAAAACTGGTGTCAATTCGTCCAGTGGTTTTTGAGTTATGTTAATCCCACAAACTAAGATTACATTTTTATTTATATAGACTAGCTGTACCCGCCACGCGTTGCTGTGGCCAACCTTTCCTCCCTCTTTCCTCTCCTTCTTTCCCTCTTTCCTTCCTTCTCTTTTCTTTCCCTATTTCTCTTTCTTTCTTCCTCTCTACCTGTTTTTTTCCTCCCTTTCTTTGCTCTTTGGTTACATCCTTCCTTCCCTTCTTCCTTCCTTCTTCCTTCCTTCCTTCCTTCCTTCCTTCCTTCCTTCCTTCCTTCCTTCCTTCCTTCCTTCCTTCCTTCCTTCCTTCCCTGTCCTTCTTTCCTTCTCTCCTTCTTTCCCTCTCTTTTTCCTTTCACTTTTTATTTCCTTCTCTCCTTCCTTGCTTCTCTATCTTTCTTTCTTTTCTTTCTTCTTTCCCTCCCTCCTTGTCTCCTTCCTTCCCTCCCCCTTTCCCTCCTTCATTCCTACCATCTTTCCCTCGTTACTTCTTGGCTGTCCCTTCCATTTAATTTGTATTATATATAGCATATATATATATATATATATATATATATATATATATAACTAACATATTATATAGTAATCTATATAACAATATATAAAATATTGTATTTATAACTTACATAGAAAGAAGGAAAGGAAGAAGAAAGGAGGGACAGGAAGGAAGGGGGAGGGGAGGAAAGGAATGGGAAGGAAGGAAGAAAAGGAAAGAAAGGAAGGGAGGAAAGAAGGGAAGGGAGTCCTTTCGGGTGGAGTGTGGCAGAGGCACCTACGTCCAGTGTGTGTGTGTGTGTTAAATGTGTGCTCGTGTTGCCGAAGACAGGTGAGCAGGTCAGACAGAAAGGAAAGAGTTAAAAAAGAAAGAAGGATCTACAGAAAGTCCGTCCCCCACCTGCCGGCCTCTTCCAACAGGGAAAGGTGGAGGAGGAGACCGTCCTCCTGGCATAGCAGGGAAAGAGAAGGGGCTCCATGCGGAAAGCCTCCCCCTCCACTCCCATGGTGCCCACTCTCACTTGTGTGTGTGTGTGGGGTGGGGGGGTTCATGCACCACGCCTGGCTCTCAAGCTTTAACTCCCGGCTGTTTCCCCGCGAAGAGGAGGGGGCGTGGCCATGGGTCTCTTTGTAGACATGCAGTTTCTCCTTTGTGGACATGTAGTTCAGAAGTCCTTTCTGCTTTTTGTTTTTGTGGGTTTTTTGAGTGGAGAACATACATTGGGTTGTTAGGTGTATCGTGTCCAAATTTGGTGCCAATTCATCCAGGGGTTTTTGAGTTCTGTGAATACCACAAACGAACATTACATTTTTATTTATTTATTTATTTATTATTATTATTATTATTATTATTATTATTATTATTATTATATTCTTTGGTTACTAATAATAATAATAATAATAATAATAATAATAATCCTTTATTTATACCCCACTACCATCTCCTGAAGGACTTGGTGCAGCTTACTATTCCACTCCTCACTTAGAGATGTGTGGACAAGTGAGATGTTTCCAATCCACCAGTTGAAGACCAGAGCATACCAATGACCAGAATGCATCAATGCATGGCTTTCTTGGTTCTACCTCTTTGCTCATAAAGAGGGGTAAATATTGCTCAATGTGGTTAAAATGGCACAAATTCGCTGTCAATTTAAGTGTGTCATTGAAAATACTTTAAAATCTTTTTGTTGTGAGATTCGTATATCAAAATGAAGCTAAACTAGGTCTAGGTAATGGTCCTTGTTGAGAGGATAGGGCAGCCTTGTATTTTGCAAGCACCATAGCTGACCAAAGTGATGCTCTGGACCTGCGAGGAAGGAGCATGTCTTTCTATCATTTCTTCTGTGCCAGACTGCTTGAGTTATGCGGGAGCTGACGAGGAAAAGAAAAATCTTCTCCTTCCCAGTGAGAATGAAAACAGCACAAACCAGGGGAGGGGGTGGATTACACAATATTTTTTGCCATCGTGACCATGTTTTGATGTTGCTTGGCCACTTGGGTCCTAATTTTCATCTGTGAAATGCTGGAGGATGTGGAAAGCAACAAAGAATACCAAGCGTCGTTCTGTAAAATATCTGCAGATCAATAGCACAGGATTATTCGGCACCTACTAAAACTCAAAACAATTTTAGAAGACTATCAAAGTTTCTCTTCTCTTTCAACCTGTGCCTTGCAGGGTTTTCTATTTTTGTTTTGTTTTGTTTTTCAGGGATGCCTTCCAGTTTTTGGCAAATAAAACAGTTAGATATATTATATGTGCACATAGTGACCTCTAGTGAAAATAAGAAGAAAATAAAAATGTTCATAGGGATGACTAGCATAGCAAGTGGTAAAATGTTTCAAAATTTGGGATAACCTTTGTTTTCAACATGACTGTTTTCTTACCATCTAAACACACTTTTCTCCATGCATTTTGCTAGCAGTGACTGCTGTTCCCTACACCTGGTATACATACAAACTTACCTCCCAATTACCATAATAATTTCAGAAATTGTGATTTTAGTATAATGCTAGTAGGACAAAAACATGGCATTGTGTTTTATCACACCAAAAGTGGCAATATGCAAAATTGACTGAAATAAATGTGATAATGTATACCATGACAATGGGCTAAATGTGATGTTTTCAACAACAGTACAGTTGTGATATGGCCTAAGGGCTAATCAATAAAATTACTACTACTAACAACAGTATAGTGACAGTTCAGGCAGTTTCATTGCTGTTTAGTTTGATTATCTGATTGATAATCAAAGCAGATAAACAAAATGTGGACTATGTATTGTCGAAGGCAATGTGGACTATCTGCTTTGATAATCTGGATTATATGCCAGAGTATATTATATTATATGCCAGAGCCTCAAATGTACTGTTTCAGATATTTAGGCCCCCTCTTTACTGCAGTATAATACAGATAATCAAAGAAGATAATCCACATTATCTGCTTTGAACTGGATTATATGAGTCTATAATAAAGGTAAATGCTGTCCCCTGACATTAAGTCCAGTCATGTCTGACTCTGGGTGTGGTGCTCATCTCCATTTCTAAGCTGAAGAGCCGGTGTTGTCCATAGACACCTCCAAGGTCAAGTGACCGGCATGACTGCATGGAGCGCCATTACCTTCCCGCCGGTACCTATTGATCTACTCACATTTGCATGTTTTCAGCTGCTAGGTTGGTGGAAGCTAAGGCTGACAGTGGAAGATCATGTCGCTCCCCGGAATCAAACCTAGCAACCTAGCAATCTTTCGGTCAACAAGCTCAGCAGCTCAGTGCTTTAATCCACTGCGCCACCGGGGGACTCCAGTGAGTCTATACTGCTATATAATCCAGTTCAAAGCTGATAATCAGTATTTTATATAGCAATGTAGAAGGGTCCATAGTCTCTACAAGATCTGAGAAACCTCCTCAGACTCTCTATGGGGAAGAAGAAAATTTTCAGGAAAGGTGGGGCAGAATCACTAGAGATCAAGTAATTCCTTTGCATTGAAACTAAGGTTCAATTCATGTGAAAAAGATCTTGGAGTCCTTGTGGACAACAAGTTAAACATGAGCCAACAATGTGATGTGGCAGCAAAAAAGCCAATGGGATTTTGGCCTGCATCAGTAGGAGACTAGTGTCTAGATCCAGGGAAGTCATGCTACCCCTCTATTCTGCCTTGGTTAGACCACAACTGGAATATTGTGTCCTATTTTGGGCACCACAATTGAAGAGAGATATTGACAAGCTGGAATGTGTCCAGAGGAGGGCGACTAAAATGATCAAGGGTCTGGAGAACAAGCCCTATGAGGAGCAGCTGAAAGAGCTGGGCATGTTTAGCCTGAAGAAGAGAAGGCTGAGAGGAGACATGATAGCCATGTATAAGTATGTGAGAGGAAGTCATAGGGAGGAGGGAGCAAGCTTATTTTCTGCTTCCCTGGAGACTAGGAAGCAGAACAATGGCTTCAAACTACAAGAAAGGAGATTCCATCTGAACATGAGGAAGAACTTCCTGACTGTGAGAGCTGTTCGGCAGTGGAACTCTCTGCCCCAGTGTGGTGGAGGCTCCTTCTTTGGAAGCTTTTAAACAGAGGCTGGATGGCCATCTGTCGGGCGTGCTTTGAATGCAATTTTCCTGCTTCTTGGCAGGGGGTTGGACCGGATGGCCCTTGAGGTCTCTTCCAACTCTATGATTCTATGATTCTAATTATCTAATGCTCTGTTCACACAGCTCTGGAAAGATGCCCAAAAGTGATTGCAGAATACTTTTGCGATTCTCCCTACCTGTAAACTTTGGAGTAGCTGATCAGGTCTTCCAATTCAATGGCCTGGATCTTGTTGTGATCCAGATGCAGCTCGTTTAAGGTTTCAGGCAGATCTGGTTGTGGAAGAGGCATAAAATTATTTCTGTACTCCGTGGTGTTTTAAAACAAAAGGATGATAAACACAGCAATTTAAAATAGAGAAACAAATGGACAAACAGCGCAGCAGTGATAAGAAATCAGCATTAAATCTACTACAACCCACTGAAAAGTGATCTTTTGCAAGGGTTGTCCCAGTCCATTGGAAAGGGAGTTTGAGGTCCCTTCTACACTGCCAGATGATCAAAGCAGATACAACTAGAAGCGTATCTTCCAAGTATTTCAGTTAATCCTTTGCTGTCCCATGTTTTCAGCAATAGTATAAGTATCTATGTACTGTATATACTTGAGTATAAGCCGATCCGAATATAAGCCGAGGCACTTAATTTTACCACAAAAAACTGGGAAAACATATTGACTCGAGTATAAGCCAAGGGTGGGAAATGCAGCCACTACAGGTAAATTTCAAAATAAAAATAGGTACCAATAAAATTACATTAACTGAGGCACCAGAGGTGAAATGTTTTTGAATATTTACATAAAACTTTAATTTGAGATAAGACTGCCCAACTCTGATTAAATCATTATTTTAACCTTCTTCAATGTAAATATACTTACACATCCTTCCAACAATAATAAAGAGAATAAAATAATAAATGTAATAATAATAATAACAAAAAAGTAAAATAATGGAAATGCAATAATAACAGTAATAATAGAGCAAAATAATAAATGTAATAATAGCATAAAATAATAAATGCAATAATAATAAAGTATAACAAATGTAATTTTTTTGTCATGTCAGGAGCGACTTGAGAAACTGCAAGTCGCTTCTGGTGTGAGAGAATTGGCCGTCTGCAAGGACGTTGCCCAGGGGACGCCTGGATGATTTGATGTTTTTATCATCCTTGTGGGAGGCTTCTCTCATGTCCCTGCATGAGGAGCTGGAGCTGATAGAGGGAGCTCATCCACCTCTCCCCAGATTTGAACCTGCGACCTGTCGGTCTTCAGTCCTACCGGCACAGGGGTTTAACCCACTGCGCCACCGGGCGCTCCTAACAAATGTAATAATAATAATAATAATAATAATAATAATAATAATAATAATAGGGTAAAATATGTAAATGTAATAATAATAAAGTAAAATAATACATGAAATAAAAATAATACATATGTGCATGTATACACACACACATATCTCTTAGGCCATTTCTCCACTGCCATATAATATCCAGATTATCTTCTTTGAACTGGAGGCTCCTTCTTTGGAGGCTTTTAGACAGAGGCTGGATGGCCATCTGTTGGGGATGCTTTGAATGCATTTTTCCTGCTTCTTGGCAGAGGGTTGGACTGGATGGCCCATGAGGTCTCTTCCAACTCTATGATACTATATGGCATTGGAGACTCATATAATCCATTCAAAGATGAAAATGTGGACTATCTGCTTTGATAATCTGGATTCTATGGAAGCATAGAAGGGGCCAGAATCTCTCCCTTCTGGTGCATTTCAGCGGTACATTTTGAAAGGCAAGAGCTCCTCAGGTTAGTTCTCATAGCCAGTTTCCTAGCAGCATAATCCAGGCAGCTATAATGAGCCATATCAACAAACAATGTCTAGCAATAGGTTGTTGTAGGTTTTTTTGGGGGGCTATATGGCCATGTTCTAGAGGCATTCTCTCCTGACGTTTTGCCTGCATCTATGGCAAGCATCCTCAGAGGTAGTGAGGTCTGTTGGAACCAGGAAAATAGGTTTATATATCTGTGGAATGACCAAGGTGAGACAAAGGACATTGTCTGTTGGAGCGAGGTGTGAATGTTTCAAAAACCTACAACAACCCAGTGATTCCAGCCATGAAAGCCTTCGACAATACAATGTTTAGCAATCTTCATCTGTACCAAGAACAAGTGTTTCATAATGTCCCTCGTTTGATCATTTCAGACTAATCCAACCTAAAATACCTTCATTCCAATCGAGATTGCTCAAAACAAGCCGAAACATATCGAAAGGTGTTAAGGACCAAACTACTGTCAGAGAATGAAACTGGTTGAAAGGTGGAACTAAGGGGTTTTTAGCATTGCACTTAATTCCCGGGCCCCCTAGAATTTCTGGGCTTGCACAAATCTTGGCCCGGCCTTTTAAATTTTTAATTGCCTTGAACAGGCAGGATTACTTTTAATATATGTGTGTTATGGCGACAATTTTTATGTTTATATTTTGTTTGTTAATCATATGGTTATGTTGTTTTTACTCTGTATGTTTCGTGATATTACTTGGGAACCGCTCTGAGTCCCCTCTAGGAGATGGAGCAGTATATAAATTTTAATGTATTTTAATGTATTAATGTATTACAATGTTGTTAGCTGGCCTGAGTCCCTCTTCGGAGGTTGAGAAGACCGGGTTATAAAAGCTCTAAATAAATTAAATAAATAAATAAATAAAGTATTATTATTATTATTATTATTATTATTATTATTATTATTATTAAAGCTTGTAAATGGAAGAGTGGACACTAGATGGCACCAAGTCAACAGAGAGAGGGAAAAATCCAGTGGGTCAAAAAAGCAACAGCAGTAGTCAAGAAAAGCAGACTAGGGGTCAAAAATACAAAATTTAGATTTATCAAGACAGCAGAACATCCTAAAACAAGTCATCCAAAAGCAGTACTCTTCCCAAGGAAGTTCTTTCAGGATATTCCTCTTACTATAAAAATTGCATCTAGACTTGTGTTGAAGAGGAGCTGGCAGATGACAATCAAAAAGTCCCAGTTCTTCTACCCTTTGAGCCCAGGTTCGACTACAAATTGGGTATAAGTTGGATTGTTGTACGTTTTCTGGGTTGTATGGCCATGTTTGAAGAGCATTCTCTTCTGATGTTTCGCCTGGATCTATGGGAGGCATCCTCAGAGGTTGTGAGGTCTGGGTATAAGTTCTCTGTAAGTCCGCAGAACTTTATACTCAATGTTGTAGTAGAACATGGTTTCTTACAAAGCCTAGTGGTGGTCCTGAATCAAACAATAATATTATGAATGCGTTTTGGAGAAGCTTCTAAGCCCAACAACTACTCGAAGAAACATATCCATAACTTAAGGCAGCTTTGACCAAGAATTGCTATAGGGAGATACAATTGGGGAAGCAATATGCATTACCTTTGGGTACACCAGTGAGCTTTGCTTCTGAGATTCTCAGGTAGTTCAGCTTTAAGCCATCAAAGGCACCAGGTTCAAATCCACTGTTTTCCAGGGGGTTCCCACCCATTTCTGTAAAAAAAGAAAGCTATTATCATGCTAAATGCCTTTTAGACTATTAAGAAGTAAGATTACACTTTTATTGCCTTTCTTATTACATTACAAAGCCTCAATTTTAGCAGCCTTTTTAAAGGGTCAGTACTATGCCCTCATTACTCCAAAATCAAATATGTTACAGGTAATGTTGTTATTTGGAACCTTTCACTTTCCATCTGGTCACTAAACTAAAACGACAGACTGGCCTAGCATAAGGCTCTATGCCTTTGTTAGCACCAACCAGAATATGTGAAAACAGCATGAAAGCTTCTGTTTTCTCCGGGAGTTCATCTCATGCTAATTATTTATGAGGATTGAATGAAAAGTAATGCCTCCACCTTTGTAACTCCTCAACAGATGGCAGTACTGGTATGCAGCAGGTACTGGCTTGTTCAGTAGACTCTCTTCTACAGTTCCATTTTGGTGGGAAGCCATAGCATTGAATAGTTGTGTTTTTAAAGTGTGAAGTATGGAACCCTGCGCAGACAGTCGGTCAATGTGACTTAAGCAATGTGCAGTCATTGAATTCTTGACAGCAGAAGGTGTCACCCCAAAGGAGATTCATCACAGAATGCAAGCTGTTTATGGCGATTGTGTTGATGTGAATACTGTGCGTCATTGGGCAAGTAAGTTTAAAGATGTTGAGGTGGGAACATCTGACTTGCATGACAAACAAGGAGTTGGGCGGCCTGTGACAGCAACCACAGAGTTTCACAAGCAAAAGGTTGACAGATTGATTCAGGATGATCGTCGTATCACTCAGAGAGAAATTTCAAGCATAATCTGCATTTCACAAGAATTTATGGGTCACATTATTGCTTAGCTTGGCTTTTGGAAGATCTGTGCACGATGGGTTGTGGAAACAGAGAGTCTAATTCTTCCGCGGCGGCTTCAGAAAAACAAGAAAGAAGAAGGTTGGCTGACTGCTCAGGCGTGAGCAAAGTGCACCCCCCTCCAATAATAGGAACAAAATGATAAGAAGGACTATACACACACAAACCAACCAAGACAATTTAAATATATAGACCAAGATATATGCTGTGGGAAGTAAATAAAGTAAAAAATAAATAAATAAATAAATAAATAAATAATATCAACATAGAAAATAATAACAATAACAACACGATAACAACACGATATAAATATATAAGGACACAATATAAGGACACAATAGGTCTCACTACCACCAACCAAACAAAAACAAAAAAAAACGCAACTCTTGTATAGTTTACAGCATATTAAATGAAGGACCACAGCAAAGTAACAATAAATAAAATAGATAAGTAAAACTAACACATAAAACAATATAAAAACAAAATAGAATAACAGTTACCTGACAAAACGAAATAGGACTCAAGAATTATATAAGTAAATAAATAACTAAATAATTATTGATTAATTATAAAAAAAAGATTAAGTAAGAGATAATAAATTATTTGTTAACGACGAAGCAATAAAATCAGTTAGGCAATCAAAATTAAATATACATACATTTTCATATTTAAACACCCAAATTAATAGAAAAGAAAGAACACAAATTAACTATGTCAACCTCAAAATCCAAAATGGACAGAGACAAAGAAAAAGAAGAGAAAAGGTTATTTCTATTACAACAAAGAAGAGGATCACAACAAGAAGAAACCACCGCAAAAGAGCCTACCTTATCGGATATTATGAGGGAAATCCAGAAATTATCAGAGAAAAATGACACCCTCAAAGATCAACAACAAAAATTATTAGAGAAACAACTAGAACTCCAGGAACAACAACTGAACATGAAAAAGGAGATCTCAGAGGAACTAGGAGAACTAAAGAAAGAAATGAAAACGGACATAACAAATATACAAAAAGAAATAAAAGAAATCAAACTGAAAAAACAACAATTGGAAACAACACAAGAAAAACAAAAAATTAGAATGGACAAAGTAACGGAGAGAAGTGACAGACTAGAGAGACAACAAGAGCGTATTGAGCAAGACATTATGGAATTTCAATTAAGGTATAGAAATGTGACAGAAGAGGCCAACGAAAACATTAGGCAAACCATCATCCAAATAACAGCGAAACTGATGGAGTGTTCGGTGAAAGACATAGAGGATCAAACAGACAGAGTATACAGAATTTCAACAAGTTACTCCAGAAGAAATAAAGTTGACAGAGACGTAATAGCCCACTTCATAAAGAAAACCACTAGAGATGAAATACTGAAACAAAACAACAAAACTCCAATATTCCATAAAGGGAAAAAAGTTGCAATAATGAAAGAAATACCATCAGCAGCCCTGACAAAAAGAAAGAAATATACGTTTCTGACAGAAGAATTACAAAGAAGGAAAATTAGATATAGATGGGAGAAAAACGAAGGTGTTATGACAACATATAAGGGGGAGCGATATTGGCTTACCTCCGAAGAGAAGGCAAGAAATTTCTATGAGAAAATCCTAAAAGATAAGGAGGATTCGGACACACGAGAGCTAGGAAACCCTAATAAGCATGCCAGACCCAACTCACCGAACGAACAAGACAACCAGGAAAGACCTAAAGCCCAAGAGCAATTGAGTTCTGACAGACCGGAGGAGGAGCCACTAGAAGAAGATCTTATAGATGGAGTGGAAAATTAAATGCTATTCGAACAATGTAAACGGGCTCAACTCGGCCAGTAAGAGAAGGAAAATATACAACCAAATTAAAAAAGGCAACTACGACGTAATTGCATTACAAGAAACACACATTGCTCAGAAACATGCAGAATATTTAACACAAAAACAACTTGGGAAAGAATTTTATTCCTCGTCAGTCGACAAGAAAAAGGGCGTGGTGATTTACACGAAAGAAAAGCTACAAGCCAAACTGGCCTTCAAAGACTCAGACGGGCGAATAATTGGCATTACCCTAGAAAGAGGCAAGCAAAAATTACTAATCTGCAATATATACGCCCCAAATGGGCCGAAGGGAAAATTTACAAAGAAACTTAAAGACTTGATCGTAGAACAAAACCCCCAAGATGTAATACTTCTCGGAGATTTCAATGGCGTGATGGACAACAAACTGGACAGGACAAAAACAACCAAGAGACTAGGGCAAAACAAGCAGGGAAAGCTCCCAGAGATGCTATTCAAGATGAAGGATGAACTAGACCTACAGGACACATGGCGGATACACCATCCTCTCGAAAAGGATTATACCCATTTCTCAAATAGACATAACACCTGGTCTAGGATCGATATGGTATGGACGACAAAAACTTTAACATCCAAAATAGACAAGATTGAAATCCTACCAAGAAAAGACACAGATCACTGTCCATTGGAATTACACATCAACCAAAAACCTGGACACAAAAGATGGAGACTCAACGAAAGCATCTTAAGATCAAAAGAAGAGATCGAGAAAAATGCAAAGCTATTAAATGAATACTTCAATTTAAACTCTACGCCAGGAATGGAAAATCATATAATATGGGATGCAAGCAAAGCGGTTATGCGCGGACATTTCATACAGCAAAGCGCATGGAAAAACAAACTAAGGAATCAACAAATGTTGGAACTACTAAGAAAAATAGAAGAAACAGAAAAAGAATCGAAACGTCACCCAAACAATAATAAACTTAAGCAAGATCTACAAGCGCTAAACAAACAACGAAACCTGCTAGAGATGGAACAAACCGCAAAAGAGCTGAAGTATATGAAACAATACAATTTTCAAAACGCAAACAAACCGGGTAAGTGGCTGTCCCGAAGGATAAGAAAGAAAAAACAATCACAATATATTACACAAATCCTACAAGAAGATAAAGTATTCGCAAGAGATTCAGAAATCCAGGACCAGTTTCATAAATATTACACAAACATATATAAAAGAGACATGATAAAGAAGGATGCTATATATTGCTACTTAGGAAAACAGAGAATCCAGACCATAACTGAGAAACAACGGGAATATTTAAACAAGGAGATAGGGGACGAAGAGATAGAAAATGCAATCAAAAAACTAGATATGAATAAGGCGCCAGGTCCTGACGGCCTAACTGTGGTATACTACAAAACGCTAAAAGAAATAATAAAACCTCAATTAAAGGAAGTAATGAACGAGATATTACAGGGAAAGAAGATGCCAAACTCTTGGAGAGTAGCAAATATAACATTAATACACAAAGAACATACAGTTCCCACCAACATCAAAAATTATAGGCCCATATCTCTCCTTAACACCGACTACAAAATTTTCACCAATATAATTGCAGAACGACTAAAAACATTTTTGTCAACGTGGATCAAAGAAGAACAGTCCGGATTCCTGCCAAATAGAAACATCAAGGACAATGTCAGAAATATAATTGACATACTAGAATACTACGAAGCCCACAATGAAAAAGAACTAGCCTTACTTTCGATAGATGCAGAAAAGGCATTCGATCGATTGAACTGGGACTTCTTCAAAGTGTTACTCAGGGAAATGGATATAGGATATACATTCCTAAACGCAATAGATGAGATCTACAAAGATCAGGAAGCAGACATTTGGATCAATGGATCAGCAACAAAGAAGATTAGGATAGAAAAGGGCACAAGACAGGGATGCCCTCTATCCCCCCTGATATTTGTG